CCCTTCCCACCGAACCGCCCTCCGCGCGGGGGGAATGCGAGGCGGCCCGCGCTTGGTAGGCCGCAAATCGCCTTAGCAGAGGGTCTTTGGGAACCACCCCGCGCTTTAAAAGATGCCGCGCCGCCAGCCCCGCCGGCCCTTTACTCGAGTGCAGGACAGGGGCCTCGGTTTGCACAACCGCGTCGGCGCCAGGCGCGCATTCGTGGCGAATAAGGTGGTGGAGAATCGGAGAGGCCGCGGCGGACGGGTGCTGACGAAGTTCGGGCGAGACGCCGGCCAGGACTCGCCGGGAGACCGCTTGAAAAGCCGTATCCACGTTCCCATCCCCACTACTTTCACTACAAGTATAGTATTTTGCTTCCATCACAACTAAAGTGTGGGATTCTAATGTTCTTAAAAGGAGGAAGAAAAGGGAGAGGGGGGGGGGGAGGGAGAAAGTAAGAATTCATGAGGTTAATACTTCTCTAGCTGAAGATGCTACCATGTAAACTAGAGCGTTAAATGGAAGAAGAAAACCCAAACATTTCGTGTAATAAGGATTAAAGATTTGAATCTGATTAAACCAATTGATGTTATACATGTTCTATAAGCTACCTGAAATACCAAAAGTAGGTAAGAATAGCCATACATCTTTAAACGTCAAGCGTATTTCATAAAGATATTCAAATAATAAGTGAGTATAGCGTCTATACACAAAATAACTATAACATATTTCTTCAAATAAAAAAATGGACTGAAAGGGAACAACATAGGAAAAGTATGCGAGTGTACCTTCAATAATCTTTGCAATCAATATATCTTTAAAGTTTACTAACTCAAAAGTGTATTGATGTTAAAATTACAACCCCTTACAACTTGAACCGGTAAGCAATATTTCCACGTTTCCTTCTCAAGCACCATCACTGAATATACCACGGCCTAGAGAAAGAGAAAAGACCACTATCCAATTATATTTTCTCCTTACAAATTTATGAAAGTAATAACATGGTACAAGTACAAAAAAAAATGATCTCTAAATAACATAAAGGAATTAATAATAAATGATTTGAGGCAACCATTCATACGTCAGAGAATAGTGCGCTCACATCAAGCAAAAGTATTTATATGTAAATTTTCTATTCTATAACTGTTAGCGGAAACAAACTTCCTTCCGAAGGTTCTTTGTCTATGGATAGAATAGAATCACCATCAGAGCACGCCAACAGGAGAATCTTTGCGACCATGAATCAGTCCCTTTTCCTCTTGGCGATTAGTCTTTGATTCCAACCGGCCGTAGCGTCTATTGCGTCCCGTGTGAATGCAAGGCCCAGGACTTGGGCGTGATCTATAACTTCATGAGCTCATCCAACTCCATCTCCTGCGGGTTCCGCCCCTCGCTCTTGCTGCCGTGGCCCCGGTAGGGGGAGTCCCGGCTCGGGGTCATCCCGAGGCGTTTGGGGTGGGAGGGTTCCGCGGCGTGGCTCGGGGGTCTCCCCGCGCCCTCCCCGTCGAAGCGCGCGTCCGTGGGGAACTGGAGGACGTCCGGGAAGCGCGGCCCCCGGCCCCGG